CTGACCTCTTTGGCAAGTAAACACCATCATTTTGTTTGTTTACAAACTGCTGGACAACGAATGTCATCTCAAACCAAATTCGGCAGTTCACCAATTTCGGCGAAGCGAAGCAACTCTTTAACTCTTTTGAGTCTATTATCTTTCTGTTGCGGTGTAAGTTCTTGCACTTTTTGGAATTTCAATGGCTTTACCCCGAGCTCATTTTTCAATATTTGCCGAATGGAATATTGTGATATGTTTAGCTCACAAGCCATTTTTCGGCCACTGCGACGCGGGTTTTGATCAAGTCGCTTCTTTACTTTTCGAACCATTTCTGCTGATGTTGCTGGTCCTGTTTTCTTCAATCCCCGTCCACTTCCTAGACCTTGGGCAACGCTACCAGTATCACGGTAACGAGCAATGTCATGAGACACAAAAGATTTATTCACATTTAAATGCTGGAGTCCTCTTGTTGTTCTCCTGCCAAATATAAAGAAATCACACTATCACGCTTGAATTCCATCACGAATAACTTTTTTCCGGGAAAATTCTCACCAAAATGCTTTGCTTGTAAATAATAGCTGTCGAACGAGTGGCTTAGAAATGACAGCAGTCTGAAGTTGGTTGCAGTTTTTTCATCTCACCCTATAAACACAGTCTGATGGTGGTTCCCATTTCACAGTGAATGCTTATGATTTTTTCTTAACCTGTCCATGTCAGAGTTTTGGCCCCATTACTTTTACAGTGGGCAGGGTGGACATAATAAACTTTGCTTCACAGTGGTTACCAACTCGCAGTGAATGCTAACAATTATTTGAAGATTAAGGAACTGCAAAATTTGACTTATTCAAGTTTTCAAGCACTGACTTTCTGTGTGCGAGGTTGGGATGAAAATGAATGTCTTATGGTGGTTATCATATCACAGTGAATGCCTACACGTCTTTAAAGCATGTTCATGTCAGGGTTTGGTCCAATGACTCTTTCAGTGTTGAAGTTGTGCATTAGAACCATTGCTTCACTGTGACTACCATATCACAGTGAATGTTTAAAATTATTTGAAGATTAAGTGGATTACTATTTTTAGCGGAACTGCAAAATTTGCCTTATTCGAGTTTTGAAATAATGACTTTCTTTCTGGTTATCATATCACAGTGAATGCTTACAAGTATTTATAGCATGTTCATGTCAGAATTTGGTCCCACGTCTCTTTCATTGTGGAAGTTGTGCATTATAACCATTGTCTCACTGTTACTACCATTCCACAGTGGATGTTTTTAATTATTTGAAGATGAGCTTGTTTTCTATTCTTAGCGGAAATGCAAAATTTGACTTTGTCAAGTCAATGTCTTATGGTTATCATATCACAGTGAATGCTTACAAGTCTTTAAAGCTTGTTCGTGTCAGGGTTTGGTGCCATGTCTCTTTCAGTGTGGAGGTTGTGCATTAGAACCATTGCTTCACGGTGACTACCATATCGCAGTGAATGCTAGTAATTATTTGAAGATTAAGTGGGTTTCTATTTTTCGCAGAACTGCAAAATTTGACTTATTCATGTTTTGAAATAATGAATTCCTTTAAGAGAGGTGGACATGATAAAGACTACCTCATATCATTTCACAGTGAATGTTTAAAAAAAGTTTTAAAGCACACTCATGTCAGGGTTTGGTACCATGACTTTTTTAGTGTGGTTGTTGTGCATAATAACCATTGCTTCACTGTGACTACCATTTAACAGTGAATGCTAACCATTATTTGAAGATTAAGTGGGTTACTATTTTTAGCGGAAATGCAAAATTTATTCATGTTTTGAAATAATGACTTTCTTTAAGAGAGACGGACATGATAATGACTTCCTCATGGTTGTTATCATTTCACAGTGAATGTTAGAAAAAAGTTTTAAAGCATACTCATGTCAGGGTTTGGTTCAATGACTCTTTCAGTGTTGAAGTTGTGCATCATAACCATTGCCTCACTGTTACTACCATTCCACAGTGAATGCTAACAATTATTTGAAGATTAACTTGTTTTCTATTTTTAGCGGAACTGCAAAATTTGCCTTATTCAAGTTTTCAAACACTGACTTTCTTGGGCCAGGCGGACATTATAATGACTGCCTCATGGTAGTTATCATTTCACAGTGAATAAAAAAAATGTTTAAGCATACTCATGTCAGGTTTGGTACCAGGATTCCTTCAGTATGGAAGTCGAGCATAATAACCATTAATTCACTGTTACTACCATTTCACAGTGAATGTTTATATTTATTTGAAGGTTAACTTGATTTCTATCCCTCGCGGAAATGAAAAATTTGCCTTATCCAAGTTTTGAAACACTGACTTTCTTTGAGGAAAGGACTCTTTCAGTGTGGAAGTCGTGCATAATTACCATTGCTGTGGCTACCATCCCACAGTGAATTCTAACAATGCAAAATGTGACATGTTCCTTTCAAGTATTAAAACTCTGACTTTCTGTATGCAAGGGGGCATGGTAAACACTGCTATATGCTAGTTATTACTTCACAGTGAATGTTTATGAGTTTTTGAAGTATGTTCATTTCAAGGATTCGTCCCATGCTTTATCAGTGTGAAATACCGGTAATAGTCTTAAAATCGCTTAGGATAGCATCTCACTGTGAATGTTTGTTAGACTAATTGGTGTTTATTTATTTATTTCATTATTATTATTATTTTTTTTTTTTTTTTTTCAAAATATCCCAAAAATTCCCTCATTTCATTTGCAATAAAAGCATGGCATCTCCCAACTGCAACATGCCGTCAAGTGGTGAGCGACATTATTAACTCTCTCGGAAATACTTCAATTACATCGAAAACAAAAAGAGGAAAGACCAAGTCCAACATGTGTTGAAGTATTGCACATAAACAAAACTGGAAGACAGAGTAAAGAGAGGGCTACCAGATTTGATAATTGCAATGAAATGACAAGGGACGAATTCTTTAAAAAATATATACTTAAAAATACTTTTTAAAAATAATTTTCCCAGGAATTTTTATACAAAAATATGTTATAGTTTTTTAGAGATTTTTTTTTATAAAAAATATGAAACAAATGAAAAATTTAATTTCATCTCACACCACTGGCAACCCACTCCAATTGCCAACAAAGAGCTTGAGAGAGAATAACAGCAAATTTCTCTCTATGAAAATTTGACATTTGCTGTTATCCTTAGTGGTTGTTTCCTCTTGTGTCATGTCCCGTCCATGTGCATGCCTTCCCGCGCCGGGGTGCTTTCACTGTTAGTTGTTATTATTGTTGTTTTGGAGTATGGGTGAGTTATTATATCCTACCTACCTACCAAACAAACAAGAAGAAAAGGTGGTTGTTACTGGTGTTGCAATATAAATTGCATGTGCGCCATACGTCGTGTGTGCATAAGTGAATAAATGAATGAATGAATTTCTGGAGGGTGGTTTTTGGTTCACCTTTATTTTCTTTGGAATATTCAGTGTATTACTATAGCAGAGTTGCCAATTGTTAGCAGCGATTGGCCAAACGTAGCATGGCCAACATGAATCGTAATAAATGAGATACTATGGTGTATGGCCAGATGACTTGATTTTGCAACTAAGAATTTCTTCCATGGTAGAAGAATGTAGGTAGGCGCATCGACACAGCTGCTGGGACAATGAACTGTCAAACCAATTATGCAATTGACATTTTGGAATGAAAAATTATTAAAATTCGTAAGAATTGTTGAAAAATACATATAATAACAAACTCCGATTGACGTCGTATATGAAAACAAATAAAAATGTAATTATTTTTGAAAAAAAAAAAAACATTTTAAGAAATTCTTCTGCCGTGATTTCTTCTTTCTATTAAAAAGAAACATGAATTTATTTAAACGATTAATTCTTTTTTTCGTGAAATTTTTTTCACTTCATGAAATATACATCAAAACGCCAAAATTTTGCAAAATTTCTTTAGAATTTTATCCCTACATGCTGTAACACTACCTTTCCGAAAAAAAAGTAGGAGGAACGTAGGGCTTTACACGCCCTCTATCTCCAAAAAGTATCATTTTTTCAGAAATAGGTTAGTTTTCTACTTTTTCACATGTAAACGCTATATAATATTATCCATAATCAGCGCCATCTATATTTCATATATTTGCAAACGTTCAAATACAGTCATGGAATAAGGGTTAATACACATATTTCTTACTGTTTCATCCCCGAAAAAGAACAAACAGCTTTCAATTATTAAATTATTCTACGTTTCTAAATTATCTTAAATGTATATTATGTAAATTTAATTTATTTTCACAAAACACAAATATCGAAATCTCAAAATGTTTCCTTAAATAATTTCTTAAATAAAATTCGCTCTTTTCTCTTAATGCCAGATTTAAGCGAGGAAGAGAAAGAGAGTAAAAAACATAAAAATCGTTTTATTAATTATAATATTATCTTAAATGGCTTGCGTGTAAACTCTACATTGTCTAAAAAAACATAAAAATAGTTTTATTATCATAGTATCGTAAATGACTTACGTGTAAACTCTACATTGTGTTTTGTGTGCTCAGCGCTATCTGTTTTTCGGATTTACAAATATATTTCCATAGAGAGCATGATTTAGTTAAATGTTGGCAATTAAAAGAATATTTATATTATAGAGACATAACAGAGTCATTAGATTATTTTAAAGCCATTAATTATTTGCTTTTTTCTCTGCAAAGCATGCAACATTTGATTAATACCATCAAAGAAGCTTAAACTTGCTTAAACACTAATGTAGTTTCTTTTCATTTAGCGCCATCTACATTTCATAGTTACCCATGATGTCAAAACTCTTTTCTTATCATCAAATACAACCCTGCACATAAGGGTTGTCAATACCGTCTTCTCTTTTTCCTATACCCAAGATAGAGAAGACAGCATTGCCAATTTGCACTCACTTTTAGTGTCCTAAGAGTAAAAGAGATGAAAATAGTGTGGATGCAATTATAAAATGTCGGCAAGCCAAGCCATGCCGAAGTGATGTCATGATATAGCAAAAACCATCGAATACATACATTTTTCAGTATCGGTTGGGTGAACACGTATACACGGAGAACAGTTTTCAGTAAAAAAGAAGAAAAAATTCAGTGGAAAAATTATCTAATTTTTCCTTAAACATTTTTTATTAAAAAGTAAAGTTAAACAGCAAAAAACAGAAATAACAATGGGTGATCAACGAGGCACACGCGTCTATGTTGGCAATTTGACCGACAAAATCAAGAAGGACGACTTGGAGGGAGAGTTCACAAAATATGGTAAATTAAATTCCGTCTGGATTGCTTTCAATCCACCAGGTTTTGCTTTTGTCGAATTCGAGCATCGTGACGATGCCCAAAAGGCCTGCGACGTTTTGAATGGCACCGAATTGTTGGGCTCACAACTGCGTGTGGAAATCAGCAAAGGAAGGCCACGACAAGGAGGGCGTCGCCCTGGTGGCCGTGGAGGTGGTCGCGATGGCGGACGACGAGATGGTGGCTTCGGCGGTGGTCGTCGTAGCGGCAGCAGTGGTGGTGGCTTCAGACCACGTAACTCCTCCAGCGGTGGCCGTTACAATGATCGCGGCTACGGTGGTGGTTCTGGAGGTGGCCGCTCCGGAGGAGGTGGCTATGGACGCGATAGCTATGGATCTGGTGGCCGCTCTGGCGGTGGTTATGGACGTGATGGCGGCGGTGGTGGTTTCAGTCGCCGTGATTCGTATGGACGCGATGGTGGCAGCCAAAGTGGTGGACGTTCGTTTGGTGGTCAAGGTGGCGGCGGTGGTCGTTTTAGATCACGTTCCCCAATGGGTCGCTTCTAAAAGCGATAACTATCTACTACTACTACGTAAAATAGCATCATCATCATCCATCGACGTCGAAAGCTTAATCTACGCCCCCTCTAACATCATCATCGACTGCAATATCTGACAACATCTGCAATACAGCGCATAAGACAAGACAAGTAAGCTTCAAGATTAATCTTTGAAAAATACAAAAAAAAATTACCCCTAACTACGTTTAAGTGCAGCGCTAGAAAAAAAATGTGTTAGAAAAATGATTTGGCCAAGAAGCAAAAAAACGTATGTTTTCTTTTGTGAAACATATATCTACATACTACATACATACAAAACGTATCTACTTTTGTTTGTAAAAGAATCGTCTCTCCTAGTGATATAAGTCATAATTTTAATTATACCACCCCTATATCTTCTCCTTCTCCCCTAAAACTACAAACAACTCGAACCAACTCTGTAAAAAATTTGGAAACAAAAAAACAATCGCCACATTTCAATTTTTCTGGGATGTGTTATCACCTTCTTGATGATGAGTAACTCTTGAAATATTTTTAATTTTTTTGAAACGCAAAAAATGTATTGTGAACGAATAATAATAATAATATGTATGCAAGTGAAGAAGAAACGACAAAAAAAATCGCCGTTTTAAGCAAAAAGAAACAAAATGTACTGCGTACGTTGTTGAGAGAGCGAAAAAGAGAGTGAAATGTCAAGAGAAAGAGAGAGCTGATTTGAATTGATTTGTATACAACGCTAATTTTAAGTTCTCCTACACCCCTCTAAACAAATTATTCCCCGTACCTTTAGAAAACAATGAAAAGAAGACAAAAATTAATTATTTAGTGGCATTTCACACTGGGTAATTTTATTTAAAGCAATTCTAAGTTTGTGAGAGAAATCAACGGTGATCTCTTTCTCACCCCAAACCTGACAATTGCATTAATTAAAACTGCCTGGTGTGGAAATGAGTATTTTTTCTTGCCAAAATTCTTTTAAAAAACTAAATTTAATTTTTTCCTTCTTTTCCCCTGATATCTGGTCGAACTCCTCCTTACCCCACTACCTTCAACTCTTATACTACGTAATTTAATGCAAGTAAAAAATACTACGCTAAGTTTGTACGTCATATAAAAACAAGAATACAAAACAGAACGAGAAAAAGAAACACAAGTCAAAAGGAAGATGAAGAAGAAAAATTATTAACGTATTAATATAACAAAAGTCCCCTTATTACGCATGTGAAGAAGATATTTTCATGTAACTACTTCTCGTACCCCCACATCATATTTCTCTCTGTATAGCATTACACAGTATTCCAAGAAACGAAGAAAGAACAAAAAGAAAATGAAGAAAAAACAAGAAAAAAAATCCAAAAATAATCCTTACGTCGTTTTATTTATGAAACCATGCCATATTTAATGTACTTCGAATTTACAGCAACGAAACCCCCAAGCGAAGAGAAGTGGTATCACCCAACCCCACAGCATTGGAAGCCAAAAAGAGGAGGCCATTAAAAAAAGTATTGCAATTTCGATTATTTTTTATTTTCTTGTGTTCAATTATTCTTTGTTAATTTTCTGCGAGCAACGACGACTACGACGACGATCTTTGTTTTGACTACGACGACTTTACAAAATTTACACATTTCTACGTTAACAACAACAAAAAATTAATCAAAATCAAACAACCAACAACTTTCCCTTTCAACTCTGGACCTCCGACGACTTCTTAGAGGCCGGTCTACCTACGCTTAATGTTTATTTCTTTTAAATATAATGTACATATCTAGCTAACCATCTCTCCACCACACTATATCGTTTATAGCTCTCGCAACGTACTCCATTTTAACAACACACATCTTTAGATTCCATATATAAGCAAAAACAATGAGGAAAATGTCCACCGCCCAAACTCTGCGTAAGCTTCTTCGGTACGACGTTAAACAACAAATTTACCATGAATTTGTTTTGTTACAACGCTCTCAAACCAACCACCATCCCTGCCTTCATAAGGTGGTGGTGTATACCAAAAGTCAGCACAGCGCCCCTGCGGCGGCTTTTGGTCCAAACCACCCAAGGGCTCTCCAACCAGATTCTCTTCAAAAAAATGCAAACATATGGTGTACAGTCACGCGCAAGACAACCTCGCCAAACATCCTTTATAACACTTCATCTTTCTTCTACTATACAACCCCACTACCACCACCCAAGAAAACAAATTTATCGAACAACCAACCAACCAATCACCTCCAACGTTTTTAATTTGTTTTTATACTTTCCGTTTACGCATCATCGCATCTTGATTTGATTTCGAAAAAACGCACCCTTAATCCAGAACTCAAAGCAAGCAAAATTTCACACCGCCACCAGCCAACAAACAGCCATGTTTTGTTGAAACTTCTTCGACCTACGTTTTGTCACGTACGTCCGCTTCGTTTTCTCCACGAACAAAATTTTTCCGTTAATCTCATCCACCATCCTCCTGCGCATAGTATTTTATTTGCTACGACAAGACAAATCTTCGTCCAAACGAATGATATGAAAAACCAAAAGCCACCTCTAACTACTATCTTAGACTACAGCTACGCTTTTATTTCATCCCCCTCCTGAGTCTTGGCCACACGAAACAAAAAGACCAGCTAAGCATTTGAACGGGGAACTCTCCTTTCCAAGCTTCTTCGTATTTACCTAATTTGGAATGCAAGCTAAACACCAAACAAAAAAAAAATTACAAAACAAATTGGCTCAAAAAATGGAAAGAAAAAGTCACATTCGTCACATCTTTAAATACCTAAGTACAAATTTTTCTTTGATTCCATTTTGTTTTATAATTTTTTTCCTTCACACAACAACGACGACAGCAACTTTTACTTCGACAACAACGACGACGACACACACGCTCTCACACCACCAAAAAAAGAAAAAATAACAAATTTCCCTCGTAGCCAGCCAGTCAGCCGCGCTCTCTCTCACCCTTCTGTTATTTTTAGCTCTTTAATATTTAGCTGGCATCTGCATCCATCTTGTTTTTATTTTGGTTTGGTAATTACCCGCCATTTGTTATTTTTTCGTGTTATGCTGTTCATCCAATCTTCTGCTGTGAAATTATGGCCGATCGCCACCAACCGGCCGGCAGGAAGCCAACCAATCAATATGCTAATGTATGGAATTTGTTTTCCATGGGGAATTGTTAATGAATGAGTTGTAAATTGGCTTAATTTTTCAAGGGCACTTTCTTGTTGTGCTCTTTGTGAGAAATTGGTAAACAAAAGGTTAAAGCACAGGTAAGAGAAAAAATGTAAATATTAATAAAACTAACAATATAATTTAGTGGGGTAAATACTTATTTTAATATAGGGAAAAACACTAACCAACAAAAATATTGATTTAAAGGAAAGAGATAAAGATTTCAAGGAAATATATTGAACTCAAAGTAAATTACGATCAAAACCCTCATGGTGACATTTTATTACACAGTGATATACTTTTAAATGTGGACTTTGGAAGAATTCTCCTCAACAATTATTGGTAAAAATTCACGGGGCTATGCTTGGCCCTCAAAACATTTTCTTAGGAATCCAACAAGTTCTATATGGTTCTTAAAAATATTTTTGAAAGATGTTGATACCGTGTTAGGCCCTCAAATGAATTTTAATTAAATCAAAAAATTAGCTTAAAAATCCCGAGATCTTTTAAATATTTTTTTAAACTGAAAATATTTAAAAAATCTGCGACCTTTTCAATATTTTTGCCATCTAACCCTTAAAATCTAAGTACGAGCTCTCTACTGTTAGCCCACTTAAAGTTTTTATACCCTACATCACAAGATAGTCAGGGTATTACGTCTTTGTGAATTTGTATCAGGCAAAAGGAAACGAGATTGAACCATAGATCCTTTTAATGGTCTGCATAGAAATCGAAATCGGTTCAGATATAGCCATAGCTCCTATATATATTGTTCATCCGATTTGTTATTTTTGTCTTCCGCAGGCGTAATATGCACTCTGTAACAATTTTATCTGCGGAAATATATTAAATACAGCTTAATTTTAAAGAGATCAAGTCAGATTTGGACATAGCTCCCATACATAACTTCGTCCGATTTGCTTTTTTATTGTGCAACAAACGTGTAATATTAGCCCAAATGGGATGGAATTTGGCAACTACGACTAAATTGAGTCTAGAAGCTAGTATGTCAAATTTGGTGAAGATCGGTTCAGATATAGCTCATGTATATGTTGTTCATCCGATTTGTTATATTTGCACTCCGTAACAACGATATTCAGGGAAATATATCAAATACAGCTCAGAAATATCTTTGACAAATTTTATCGAGACCGGTTCAGGTTTGGATATAGCTTCCATATATATATTTATTCGATTTCAAGTTAATTGTGCACAAAATGGACAATACAAGCCCGAATTGAAAAGATACAAATGCTTCGCCATATTTTGTCCTTAGAAACTTTAAACTATAATTATAATCATAGCTGTAGGTGTAGGGTATCATAAAGTCGGCCTGCCCGACTGACTTTACTGGTAATTTATACCCCCCACCGTAGTGTGGGCGTACAATAAGCTTGTCATTCCGTTTGTAATACCTCGAAGTATAGATTTTAGACCCCACAAAGTATATAATTAATTAGCATAAAATTTTATGTCGATTTAAACATGACCGTCCGTCTGTGGAAATCACTCTAGCTTCCGAACGAAATGAAGTCAGTTGATAACATTCCACTCGAATGTGTTTTAGGTCTGCAGGACTTTTGGTATTGAGTCCACGTTTTAGTATACGCCCGAACTTGCTGTAAATTGGGAGTATGTGTGCCCGGTAGGTAGAAAACATCTTTACAGCGAACGGTACATATAGGTCACAAGTTTTGGTATAGATCCTAGATTTTCGGAATTTTAGTAACTTGTCTCACAGTTTCACTGGAATTGTTCAAAATTTGTCATTTAAATTTCCTAATGGGTACTTCCTCCTATGACAGAAAATTTCCAGTGCAGGACCACGCCTTTATAAAGTCCCCATATCGTTGTATGGGGACTATACAAAGGCGTGGTCTTCCAAATAATCGGTATTTTGATGATATTAATCACATTTTTCAACAGAATTATCTCAAAGTTGGTATTTGCACTTCGTAATAGCCACCAACTTTGGTGGATGTAAAAGGTCCACGTTCTCGTATAGCTCCATTTAACCCTAACACCTAATATTCGAAATATTTAAAATTATATCTGCATTTTTCAAGGGATTTTTTTTTTGGTATTTTGTAAGTTCCTTCCAATTGGTGGAGGGTATTAAAAGTTCGGCCCGGCCGAACTTGGCTGCTTTTTAACTTGTTTAAATTTAAAAGCATTCATAAAATTCTAAAACCTATTTTCTTCCTTCAAAAATATCCGAAGAAAAATTCGCGAGATATTAAAAGTTTAGGAAATAAATATTTTAAAAAATTCGAACTGTGGTATCAACAAAAAGTAATTTTTGAGTATTCTCTAACCCTTTTAAAATATTTAAAAATCTTGAGCTGTTCCCTGCTTTGTCTTTTTTTCCTTTAAAATCTTAAGCTCTTTCTAAAACAGAATGTAGGAAATTTACAAGGTTTAAAAAAAAATAAAATATCTATGTTAGGTTGGCCTATTTTGTGCTCTATTGGTAGAATTGTGTGGAGTAACGATTTGTTGATTCATAGTTAAAAAGTAAAATCTAACATTAGGAACTCGGTATTTTTTGAACGATCCGCCTAATGTCTATTTCCCCGACGTGTCCTAGATCTGGAAGTGTAAAAAAATTTAACTTTGGAAGTCCTCCAGATTAATATGCATACGTCTGCTATATGGTTTGAAATATCCTACGCCGCGTTATAGCTAATAAAACACTCCCCTTTGAAACTCATGTAATTGGGTTTATTTGTATAAAAAAACATCCGACTATTTACAGTAACGATCAGCTTTCATTTTGCTACGTCTGTCCAATAGGGCCTCATGTAGAGTTCCCTTTTCCTTGGCTGTTTCCAATTCTTTAATGTCATTCTTATTAATTCGTAACTTTTTATCCTGGAATTTCTGGAACTTTTTCCTGCAAAAACCAAAAACACTCATTATTTTCAATTACTAATATATAAAAGAACTCTCCACTTACACATAATTCTTTTCGACTTCATATAAATCCCCCTTTTCTTCTTGCGGCTCTTCATCGACCACCGTCTCCCGAGGGTTGTTACATCGAATAACACAAATTTCCAAACCTGTGACTTTTTTACGCAACGCCACACAGGCATCATCCTCCGGATCGATTGACATAAAGAAACCCAAATCCGATAATAAAGCCATTTTACCATCTTCAAAGATGGGTTCCCATTGTTCCAAGCTACCGACAGCTTCGGATCGGCCCGTCACCACACCATCTTTTTCAATTTTTAAATATTTTCCATAACCAGATTTAAACGAAACCTTTCTGTCATTGATTGGAAATGCTGTAAAAATTTCCTCTGGATCTGGTCCCTCGCCATCACGGTGTGGTGCTCCCAGCGTAAATAAACCATTATCGAGGGCCTTAACATAGGAATGTTCGCCAAATTGTATTGCCACTGGACCGGTGATTTCTGACGTCAACTTTGCCTGCCACCATCCGCCGTGTTTGAGAGCATCTTCGTCCACCTGCACCTTACGTTTCTTGTGTTTATCATCTTTGTGTTCCTTTTCCTTCTTGCGTTTTTTGCTTTTTCTGGAAATGGATGGGGGAAAACTTGTTAGGAAAATGTTATTGGAATTTTAGGAACAGGATGCTTACTTGTGTTTTTCTCCTTTCAGTACCAATTTGCCAATTTTTACTTTATCGTATTCGGATGACATTTTTTCTACTTTGAGATTTTATTATTAATTTAATTTTTTACGTTTGCCTGCAGAGGGCGAAGCCGATGTGAAATTCTCGGCGGCGGCGGCTAAAGCAATATACGGCCGGCGGCGGCTAAAAGTCGGCTACAGCCGACGACTTTAACGTGAACAAATAATTTCGGTTGTTTTAATAACTGTCAATTCATTTAATTTAAAATAAAAATGAAAATATAAGTTTATATGCACATTTGTTGCTTATAGCACATTAAAAATTATAATAAAAATACTTTAATTTGATAAAAATGGTTCGACGACCGCCTTGTTATCGTGAACAAACAATTGTTTCTTTACTGTTGCCGGATGCAGGTTGCTTCTCTTAGCATTTACACAATTCCCGGCATATGAAAATGCTTGCTCTGAAGATGCTGATGTGACTGGAATTCCAAAGCACATATTTGCTACAGTAGCAACATTTGGAAAAATCTATAAAAAGTAAATGGTCAAAACGTAACATGCTTAAAACAAGTTTAAGATGTGAATCTTTAACGTACTTGTTTGTTCTGTCGCCACCAATCTAGAGGCTCAACCGCCTCGACTTTCATTTCCAAATATTTTCTTATTTCTAACTCTACGTTATTTTGTACATTAGAAGAATCAACAGATTCGTCTGAATCGGATTCTGATTTAGTCAAAACTGTTTGACCCTTTCGGTCAGCGGAAAAATAATTTTTAATATTCCTTTGGCACATTTTGCATTATTTTCCTTGAACAAGCAAAAACACAACGAATCTTTGGCAAACAATATGGTTGCCACTCCATCAAAATTCGTAAGTTACAAAAGGTTGCCAAAGGTTTTCTGATAAAAAAGCAAATCTACAAAGACATAATACCCTTACCACAATGTGGTGTAGGGTATAATTAATATAAATAGCCTACACGTTTTTGCCTCTCGAAGACGAGTGCGCAATGTAAATTATCGTCCAATAATGAGCATTATAATATGTTAATTTATCTATAAGATTAAAAGACATATTTATACAAATTTGCTGTATAAATTTATATTTTTCCACGGCTTAGCCGACTCAGTCGGCTAAAAATTTGAGCCGATGAGAGCCGCATACGTCAGCGGCGGCTCAGATCACTTAAAAAAAGTCGGCGGCGGCTGCACGCCGACTGCGAGCCGATCGGCTTCGTGCTCTGTTTGCCTGTTCCTGTTATACTCTCAATGTTGTTTGCTTTGTTTACATGGAATCAATTTGCTCAATTAGACTATTCACTAAGGGGAACTCAGTGAACTGCTTTCACTTTGTTGTGCAGCCCGTGTGATATAAAAACTATCAGGAGAGAATGCAAATTAGAGTTATTTTTATATCATATCCATAAATACACAGTTGTGGATATATTGCGTGTCAGGTTTCGAATTTATGTATGGTCTACGACTGAGTTGGTTCATTGTTCTATTAAAGAGATCGCTCATCCTATTTCTAGTTAGTGTGTAACGTAACGTATTCTTAAAAGGGATGTTCGCACTTGGTAATAAATAAAGCAATCACTTGAATTTCTTCTTTTTTCCATGAAGCAATCAGCTGTTTTTTTATATCATCCGGTGTTTTTGTTTGTGCAATCAATAAAAGCTCATTTAAGGTTTTATCAGACGAAATGTTTTTTACATCACAGCGAGCCCTATTTTCATCGTAAAAATATGAAAGAATAATGAAAAGAATTTGTTTGTTGTGTGAAAATATATTTAAAATTAAATTTTCAATAAAAGTGCACGATTGTAAACAAAAAAAAAAAAAAAATAAATAAAAAAACACATGCAAATGTGTGACACGAAAAATTATGAGTCGTATGTAAAATGGCTATTTGGATATACACACGGAAATACATATGGATAATAAAAGAGACAGCACGTCAAAAAAAATCGACTCTTAGTGAGTTTAATTTGACGTATACGCAATCGACTTCCTATGTGAATACAGCGTTTAATTCTTTTGTGTGTAGGTGAGAAATTTATATTTTGTAGAA